TCAAATACATGGAAAATCAAAACTAATGTTACAAAAAGATAACATACCTGTCACTACTATAATGAATTATCTCGCAAATGCAGATATAACATGAATGCGTAACTCATATTTCTAGGGACATGCACAGCTGTTCAGTGTGGAGGCCTTTTGTAACACGGCCAGACTTCGGCACAATAGTTTAGTTCCTAAGCTCTTGCCAAATAGGTAAACAGATCCACTATTCCAACTGTGGGACCCATAAAGGCAGTCAAATGACTTACTCATTTTGAATTTCTAAGTAAAATAACTCAGAAGAAAGTTTAAATTAAATTATTATCAGCCTAATGAATATTAAGTACAACTTTCCATTGGGTTACCTAACCTGTGTACAGAAAATAAATCTCAAATGGAGTCTGAAACGGAGTATGTAAGCAGAGGATACTTAAGAAAATACACAATCAGACTTTAAAAATAAATGTTTATGAGAGCAAAATTTCACATTATTTTTTTGATTTGTAGAAATTTGTAGTGATCAGGCAGTGAATCATTGTACAACTTTTTTTTGGCTACTGAGCTTTCATGAAGCCTGTGGCAGACATAAACGATGATCAAAAATTAGGAAGACAAAAATATCAACAGATAAAAAGAAATGTAAAGCTGGCATCAGAGCTGGGGCAACCGGTGCAGCTGCAGAGCAACAGTACTAAGGGGTGAAAAATTTTAGATATGTCAGGCAGCAAAATGCCTCTAACCCAGGACAATAGTTACTGGTGACTTTTAAGTAATGCCTCTAACTTACTGGTGACTCTAACCTAGTGCAGCAAAATGCCTCTAAAGTAGAAAGAAAGAAAGGTCATAAAACAAGAAAATGAAAATATGAGACAATATCACAGACTAAAGAGATTTTACAGATATCAATATGCCAATTTTGACAGAAACTTTGGAGAAGAGAGATGTTTGTGTTCTGTTGATCCCTCATTGCTTGATGCAACATTATGCAACATTACTGATATAAAGATTTGATGATTAAAGTGAAAGATCTCTATATGGAATAACAATATTTGATAAAATGTGAAATAAAAGATTTTGTCTTAAATTTAAATCGTTGTCAAACCAGTGTTTCTGCTAGTCAAACCAACGATTATTCTCATTACTCCAAATATTTCAGCATGCATAACTATTGGTAAAATAAATTATAATCTCTGCCTAGGATTAACAAGGAATTATTACGAAAGATAGAGTTTCATATGGGAAAAGTATTCCTTAAGCATATTATTGTGAATGGGTGAGAAATATGTGAAACAACTGCATAAAAATATCTGACATGCTTAGCAATAGAATATTAATTTTGAAAGAGTTCTGCAGAAAATTGAGATAAATCTCCTAACCAAGTAAAAGTAAGAAGCTGATTGTTCACTCTACCAAAAACAAAATCCTAGTAAAATTCTTCCCCAGATTAAAAGAGCTCTATATAGATTGCAAGGTGAAACAGGTTTCTTCATCAATTACTTCCGCCATTTAAAGACAAAAAAATTAGTACCGTACAACGAATAACAAATCTTCCAAGTGGATCACAACTGTTGTGAACAATGGGATCACACAGGAATGCAAGGAAATACTGCATAAAATAAAATTAACTTGAGAGAAAAAATATTAAGGAGAATAATTAAATAAAAATATTAGCACTAAGCTTTAGATTAGCTTTATCGGTGTATTCTGATGACCATTACCTGTTTAAAATTAACATAACCAGAATAGTAATTACCAGAAATGGAATTATTTATAATTTTATGTATTTGTTGCTCTGACGATAAGCCAGCAGTGGACAGTTTGAAATCTATCGAATTTTTACATACATAACATAAAAAATTAAATTAGTGATTAATAAATATGGCACTACATGATTTCTATTTCAGATTCCATTTGTATTAAAAATTAAACTATATTTATTCGAAACAAGTCACATTTCAGGCAGCAAAAGATCGCAAATAGCGCACGAGCTGCAGTTTGGCCATGTCTGTTATATAGGTTGACTCCGTAAGTTAAACACCAGTGTTTAGTTTAAACCTACATAATTTACATATTAAAAGGCATTCTCAAAAACAATACTGAACATTATTAAGATTTTAAATTGAAAAATTATAAGATGTATATACAGCAATTACTAAGATTATACATTATTAGAAGTACTATGTATTATAATGATCTTATATTGTGTAATGTAAAAAAAGCTAAATAAATTAAAAATTAAGCAAAAACTAAGCACTATCATGCTTAATAACAAGATGTTGACACAATATCTCTAAGTTGGCCAAAATTAATCATTTCATTTAAATAATTAGCAAAAGGAATCTGAGTATTAAGCATGTTCTCAAAGATAACAAAAAAGATCTGATCAGAAGATACCATTAAGATTTTTAGTACACATCATAATTTGAAGTAAAAATTAATAAAAACATTAAAAAAAATTACTGTCTTTTCCAGCCTAAAACGTGCACTGGTGTATAAAATGTGCATCTATAATTACAAGCTATATTTTTTAATTTTCAGGTATATTCACTGTATAGTGCACACCCAGTTCTTCATGAAGAAACATAAAAAATACATGTGCAATGCTCTTATCTTTCGAAGTCACTTATTCGAAGATTTGTCCTAGTCTTTCAAATAATAATACACCGAACTGACAAGCAATGCTTGGTACAGCAAAGATGTTTGGTGCTGGTGAAAGCTCCATACGTGAGTAAAAGAAAAAATGAAAGCGCAATAATTAATATGCCAAAGAATAAATGTGCTTTGCGTAAAGGAGTAACAAAATGGCTTTTCCTAGAAGAAAATGCTGTGAACTGGGTCTTAAAAAGTGGCAGGATGGATTAATTATAACAAGAAATAATACAGTATAAAGTTCGAGATCCGGACTTGCGTGATTCCAGATTTGGGATTTTCCGGATATTAGATCATCAATTTAAATCTAGTAAGATGGCATGCAGAAATTATACAACTGAAAATATGAAATTGTAATTTATGAAATAAAGAGCTTTTATGATCTAAAGGGTACCAAAATTTAAAAAAAAAAAAAAAAAAAGCTTAGTATTTATTTGTTTACTTTATTAAACATTTTTTTCAATGTAAGTTGTTTAAGTTGCTTTATTTTTTTGTGCTAATACTTTCTCTTTAATTCCATAAACAGAAATAATTTCTTCTTCAGTTACAAAGTTCCAATGTTGACGTCCTGCAACTGCTGTGTCTAGAATTCCGATTAACTTGTCAATCGACATTTTTTCATTTCAGTAACTTTGCTATCACTTTCTTCACTATCGGTAGTGGTGTTTTCTGGATCTAAAAGCATACTAAAGATTTTGCCATCTGTTAACTGATTGATGATTGAGGAGCATTGTCATCCCAATGAAAAACTCATTTTATATCTTCATTTATTACCGCTTCTCCATATTTCTTTACTAAATCTGTTAGAAAATTTAACCTTTAGTTTGCGATATTCGAAAACCTTCAGATTCGTGGCTATCATCATAAAATTTAGCTACCGTTCACTATACATATTTGGCTATGTATCATGAGATTGGCAACTAAAGACAACTTGTTCCACTAAAATTTATCTTGCTTCTATGACACTCAGAGACAATTAAACCTGAAATGTATTACTTTAGTTATTTATTATACTTACGCTTATTCCTTGCACATGCTTAAGGCTTATCCGAGTCCTGAATAAATAGATTCCCAGATATATTTAAGGCTTACCGAGGGCTAGCACTAGAAATCTGACTGATGCAATCTCTGCAGGCTACCAAGTGCCTCGCTTTGTCTTCCCTAAATTCTGCTGCTCGATGTGGCCATACGAGCTCTGGCGCTGGTTCTGGGTTTTTGCAAATAACACATCAGTTATTCTTAATTCAAATAGCTCTTTTGGCCTATGAGTATCATTAACAAAATCTATTTTTAGCATATGGAAAGATATTTTTGTTAAATTTTTCCTGTCAACAATTCTTAGCACATTTAACTCAAAGCTGCAATCATCGCCAAGTACAATGTCAACATGAAAGGTTACCATACTCTTTGTTGTTCAATTACTAATATAAAAAAAAAAAAAAAACTGTTTAGGTGTTGTTACATGAATCATTACTCAAGTTGTAATGTGTTGATAAATATGCGGTGATAAAAGCAAAATATAATAAATAATGATTCGCTAGGTTGGCGTCAGGGATATAAAATATTAGTACATGTAAAATCAATGATGTTTCCATGTAGGATGTTTCGGTTTGAGGTGTAGTATGCTAAGCAGATACACGTAGCTATGGGGCCACATTTTTGATCATACAAATTTATGCTAAAATGATCGTTTCTTCAATAACGAGGTATTTTACTTAGTGTTGAAGTGAAATTAAGAATCAGGACTCTCCACATGTTTCATTATGCATGCTGGGTGGCATCAAATGCACATGTGTAAAGTGCACACACACACAAAATTTTTTTTATTTATTTATTTTAATAATTAAGTTGGTGGTCGCTTTGAGGTCTGAATTTTAAATCATTCCAGATATTGTACTTTGATATTGGACAGATCACGGACTTTGTATTGTATATGTTTATTTGCCTTAAAGTGGGCCAGACATCCAGAAGCGAGTAACTGATGACTAATATGGTGATTTTTTCATGTTATCTGATAACCAAAATTTTTAAGTTCATGTGGTATGCCACTTCTTTTAAATAAACAGCATTTTTTTAATGCTCATTCCTCATGTTTAAATGTATCATTTCTATACCCGGAATACAATGCACATTCATAAATTTTGATCTTTTATTTTTTGTATTGAAAGTGCATGTTATATGCCTGAATATACAATAATTAAAATGTTCTTTTTCTCTCTTGGGATTAAATGACAATATGCAGAATCACAAATTTAAAACACCTCAAAGTGTAGCTTATTTAAAATGTGTATGCTTTTCATGAAATGCAGAAAATATTTTGTGAGAAAATTACATATGGTATTAACATAAAAATTATTTACCCTGAGCATTGTTGCCTTCATTACCATCATCATCTACATTTTCAGGAACAGGAGGAGGTGCATTTGCTTGCACGTTATTATTGGCAAATTCTATGTGGTGATGATGATGATGATCAATAACATGTTGCTGGAAGACAAAACAAAATACAAAAGAGTAATATTATTTATAAAATTAAAAAAAAATAATCAAATATGCCTAATTTTTTTTTACAAACTCTTATATTTATTACTTCTTTACGATGGCTTAACTTTTTTGAAAATTATTGCAATCCTATGCTAAAGAAAGAAAGACTTTTAAGTACCATTAATTAAAAAAAAATTAACGATTTATCAGCAAAGAGAACTGAATAAATACAAGCAATTGTCTATACCCGAACTTTATTTTGCAAATAAATAATAAAAATAAAACTCTAAGTAGGATACATTATTATTATTAAACATAATCTGATATTTGCATAACTATAAAACAAATTCAAGAATAAGGCCAATTTTGTAAAATTTATCTGTATAGTTATTTTATTGATATTTATCAATTTTACTATGCTTGTAAAAAAAAAAAATCGCAGAAAAATTCATAAAAGAAATATCCATATAAAAAATTCTGTGTGTGCACAACAAACTGATCTTGAAATTGCCAAATTTAGTACAGCATAATAAAAGAAAATATACCTTAAAAAAAAACAAGGATATTATGTAATATTTTCTGAAGTCTTCATTCTCAAAAAAGAAATAATTTCAAAGTGTTTAATGTTTCAATTGAAGCAGGGCCTTGTGCCCTACTAAGAAGTAGAACAGAATTCAAATGATAACCCATCAAATATATATTTTTCAATGAATCAAAACTTACTCCTTCAAAATGTTAATTCACATTCAAAATTGAAGTCATAAATGTCAGATGAGTAAAATTAAGGACTTTTAAGGACACAAAAGCGTTTCCAAAAACCTCAGAAAGTACTTGTAAGGACTGTATGAACCCTGCACTATAATTTTATTTTAACATTCACGAAATAATTACTACCCAAAACTGCAAGAATTGTTATTATTAAATGCAATTTTAACTATGAATTTGGCACGTAATTGTGCAATTTGGCTTAAATCATGCACTATGAGTCTAGCTGATTATTTTAGCTAAATGAATTAAATTAGATTTCCAATGGACACATACAGCAAAGAATGAATATCATATGAAGTATATAATTTCAGCATTGAGCATTAGAACATAATAAATCTTAGAACCAGTTTAAAGTGTACAATAAAACAAAAAATACAATCATATATGCTATTTCAAATTAAATATATATAGTTTTAAATTCCTACATGTATAGCATCATGGTCGTGTTCATGGTCGTGTTCATGGTCAAGCCACTCTGGTCCACCACCATGAAGAATTTGCTCTCTAAGCCATACCAGACTGATGAAGGCGCATAAAGTGCAAGTCACCACACAACACCCATACAGACTATCAGATAGAATGTTTTCTCTGAAAAAAGAAAATTTCATTAGCTACAGGATTTTTTTTTTAATATCAAAGAAACACAAAAGTACTCAAATGCATGAAGGCATGTATTCTTAGTATAATGTCTGGTACACCATCTTCACATTTAAAGGGGAAAATGTACCTAGCTCCTTCTGCGATTTACGACATGGAAAAGACTACTCACATATGAATCATTTAGGCTTTCTAAACAAATATTGCAGATGCACATGATGGAACTAAATGCAGAAGCAGTATACCTAGGGTTTTTTATCTCTCACAGACATTTCTAAGTTTATGTACATAAAATTTGTATGTAGAATTTTTATACTGATATCAGAATAAACTTAATATTTCTGCAAAAAAGCGTCTCCTTCTTATGATCTATGGATTCCAAAGATCAATAAATCAGATAGAATCCTAACACTTAACAAATGCTTAGGAATACATACATCAGATGGAAAACATATGAAAGAAAATTCAAATGATAACTAAAACTACTGATGATTGCAACTCGATTTCAAAAATCCTGAAAACTACCTTGGAGTGAAAATTTGAAATAATTTCAAATAATTCAGAATATTAATGTGATACACACACATGCATGCATACACAGAAATTTTCACACAATTTCATTGCCAAAGCAAAAGGTTTGGCGTTTTTTAATTTATTGAATGCTAATCTATGTTTCCCTACATCCTTTCACCAAGATACCTTTTTGGATTCTCACCATTTAACAAAATAATCTATGCTTAATTTGTTTTTTCTGTGAGGAGGAGTGTTAAGTTCTGGAATTTGCTGAATATGCATTTTTCTTAGCTAACAATTGAAAGTTCAGTACAATCAGCAAGCTATTTTAATAATAGCTTAATACTTCAAGTATTATATTAGAATTTAAAGGATGCATGTTACAGGGTTGCCACTCAAACAGGAGAATGAAATTCCCTGACTTTTCCCAGTGTGTTTTAAGAAAATTTCAGTCTATTTATGTAGTGCATGTTGGCTGAGCTGAGAGATAAATTAATTATAGTACCACACAAACAACACAAAATTTTGCCATATATATAATCTCCAAAGTATTGCTATGATAACTATGCTAGGAATTGTTTTCTCCACTGAAGATTGAGATTAGAATCTGCCAGTCTGGATTAAAAAATGTCATTTTTTTTTAGATATTTTGCAGCTAAATGAAAGAAAGAAATCTATTTAATGAAATTTTAAAACAAATTCATTGCCAAATTATTTTATATTTATTTAGCAGCATACATAAGCAAAAAATATGTGCATTAAATTTCATGATAATATGTCATCATACTGTTAGAATTAGTTTCAGGATAATGTCAGAGAAATTTGCCTGAAATTTGAAAATATTATTAATTAATGATAAATAAATTTAGAGGGAAGAAGCCACAGTGAATGGTACGAATAACATGAAAATAAAGTTAATTACGTAGGTAAGTTGAAAAATAAGTTTCCTCTATCGACTGTGGTCAGAGTTGTGTATGAAAGTCAAAAAATAAAATGAGACATTAAAGATATGACATACCTTTATTTTATTATTCTCGTACGAGTACATTGAGACATTTGCCATATCGCTTGATAAGCTTAAAAAAATTCACGCTTTTGCATATGGAAGAAGCGTTGAACGGCTATGGGCAAAAGGCGACACAGCAGGAAAATGCGCAAGTCATCGATACACCATTGGGTAGAGGTCACTGCAAATCAAGCAGATGGCGCTGTTGCAGTGCCTGCGCAAAGCAGAGACCAGCCTCTCATTTGAGCCCCGGTAGGTATGGAGAGAAGGTGCGTTTAGAATTCGTAGTCAAAGGAGGAAGTGGGAGCGGTTATCCGCTATGAACGGGCACGTGGAGTATCAGGAACAGAAATTCATAACCGCCTCGTGGAAGTCTATGGGCCAGGTGTGATGCCGAAGCAAATGGTGTGGAGATGGTGTCGCCACTTTCAGTGATGGATGTCAGCAAGTGGAGGACGTACCGAGAGCTGGACAGACGCACACGGCCACTGCAGATGCAAATGTCAGGAAGGTGGATGACATGATTAGAGCGAACCGCCGTATCACCATCGATGAAGTAGCGGAAGAACTTGGAATCTCACATGAGCGAGCTCAAAACATCCTCCACGACATTCTTCGATACAGAAAAGTGTCAGCACGATGGGTGCCCCGACAATTGACCTCGACACACAAGAAACAATGCATGGGGGTCAGCCTGGAACATCTCGTGCGTTACCATGAAGATGGCAATGACTTTCTGTTTCGGATTGTGACAGGGGATGAAACGTGGGTCCACCATTTCACGCCAGAATCGAAAGCCGCATCTATGGAGTGGAAACATCCGTCATCACCTGTCCGAAAAAGTTCAAGACAACTCCCTCTGCAGGTAAAGTACTCCTCACAGTTTTCTGGGACACCCAAGGAGTTTTGTTGCTGGACTTTTTGGAGGTTGGATCCATCAATGTGTAAACGCAACGTATTAATTTTATTTAAAATGTATTTTCCCGATTGGCAACAACAGTTTTTTTCAGAACGATAATATTTTGAACTGTAAGTTTTTTGAGCAGTAATGTTGACGGTAATGTTTCTGAATAAAGCAAGTGTTTAACAATTAATGTTTTGACGGAATGTGTTTTTAATAAAGGAACTAATTAATTGCTAACATTTCAGAAGTGGGATAAACTAGAATTATTATCTAGATTTAAACAACGTATTGCCTTAACGTACGCTAAGCCTAAACTGAATGCGGAAGCTCGCCAAAACTGAAAGTAGAAAGGTACGTGAATTTATAAACTGTTTATGTTATGTCTAAGTATTAAACGGAAAGAACTTAAGTATAATTATTGTATTATTATTTGAAAATTGAAGTCTAAGATGGCTTATTTGGCAAGCGGCAAGAAATGTGACTTTAAAAGAACTTGCTTTGGAACTTGATGTAGATTGTCCCTTCTGATATTAAAATTGTAGGCTTAAGAGATATTGATTTTGAATAGTAAGAATTATAACGAAGACTTTACTAAACAAATGCTAAATAGAATTATAAATGATCGTTTAGACAGGGAAAAGTTAGAAATTTTAGAAAAAGAAAAAGATAAGCAAAGAGCATTTGAAATGGAAGAAAAAGATAAGCAAAGAGCATTTGAACTTGAAAAATTAAAAATAGAAACGGAAATCAGAAGTAGTAATGTAAATGATTCTGTTCCTTCTAATGTTAGTAGAAGTAATATTTATGATATGAGTAAATTAATGCATAAGTATGATTTGAATGAAGGTGATATAAGTTTTTATCTAGTTTTATTTGAGAGACAGGCACGACGTATTGGGTTAGAAGAACAAAACTGGGTTTCTCAGCTGTTGGGTCTATTGCCTTATGAAATAACTCAATTAATTGCCCGTGAATCAGAAGAGAAAGCTAACGACTATAAGCACATTAAGCAACTGCTACTGAGAAAATTTAAGTTAAGCACCGAACAGTTTCGGCAAAAGTTCGTTGATCATATTAAAACTTTGCGTAATAAGTGGAAGGACTTCACGTTTGAATTAAAAAATTATTTTGAAGAGTGGCTTGCTGGATTAAATGTAACAGATTTTGACTCTTTAAAACAACTTATTATTACTGCATCAAAGAAGAGGGTCCCCGCTGCTATCCGAGACCATTTCATGATGATTGGTCTAAATTCATTAATCCTGAAGAGTTAGCTGAAAAACTAGATGAATATGAAATTATTCGGGCAGGATAAAAGTTACTTCAATAGAAATAAAACTTTTAGGAATAATTCTAAGCCCAAATCTGGTTCTAAATTTTATGAAGGATCCTATAATCAGTATTCAGACAAATGTTAACGATTCCATGCAGACAGATGGTAATTTCAAAGTGGGTTTTTAAAACAGTTTTGATAATAAATACAATCTGAGAGATAAATTTTCTAAAACAGACAAAAGGAAAAGGGAATATAATTCTGGCATCTGCAATGAAATGGCTGAGCTGAAATGCTTCAATTGTGATGATTATTGACATACAGCGACGGATTGTCCTCAACCTAAAAAAGAAATTATTTTCAGGAAATGTAATGAAAACGGTCATACTTTGAAAAAGTGTACGTTTAAGAATCCAGGCTTGACAAATGTTAAAAATAATTTATCTGTGGACCAGAATTCAGGTGTTTCACTGGCTGTATATTTAAAGTATGCTTGCATCAATAATGGAGAAGAAATTACTGCAATCATAGATACGCGTTCTAGTTCCTGTTTATTGAAACAGTCTGTGGCTAAGAGACTGAATCTTATTATAAAACCTGATGTGGAGGAATTGTTTGGCTTTGGGAACCAGAATAAACCAGCCGCTAGAACATTGGGAAAAGTAACTGTTACTTAGAGATTGATAATGTGGAAGGAAAGGATATTACAGTTCTAATGTAGGAGATGAAACGCAACCATGCGACTTATTAGTTGGTCGAACATGAATTGATTTACCGCATATTGCATACGCCAAGATAGGAAATACCTGCACATACGCTATGCTAATGACTGCCAATTTTCACAGTTGCAAAATGATAGCAACACTCCGCGAATTAACTGAAGCTTCCCAAGAAACTCAAATCGAAAGTATATGGTTTAATTTCGTGAAAGTTAAAACTGATGAATAATAACGGTTATGTTTTAATAAGTGGATCGGAAGATGAGTTAGGCTCATATTGCAAGTAATACTGGGAGAACAGTGATACCAGTCACTAACTACAGCGATCGAAAACTAATTTTGAAAGAGAATCAATGTATCGGTAGAGCGGAAGTCGCAGAATTAGTTGAGCCAAGTTCAGATCAAAAACTGAAAATTCACTCAAAGGAAATACTGATAATAAATGAAATTAAGAAGTTAGGAGACCGATTACTTTAGAAGAAATTAAAGTTAATAACAATACTACGCCAGAAAGAAACAGGAAGTTTACATTGATAAATGAGTATCGAGATTGTTTTGCATTAAATATGGAGGAAT